AGAGAGTGCACTACCTCATCACGGGAACATCCTGAGAGCTTCTTTGGAATGAATGCATTGGCGATGTACCACCGAATGGCCTGTGTTCACGGAAGTAACTCCCACACACTCTGCTGTGTTGAAAACTTTAAAAGAAAAGGTTTATTCAGAAACTCTTGAGATCAGCGACATTTAAAACAACGAATTACTTCTGAAGTTTGTGAATTGTCGTTCGACAGTGATGCTAAAAAGCGCTTCTGTGCCCCATCATAAGGATGTTGAAAGTAGAGTGGACACTGGGAAATTCCTTTAAGTAATATAGCCACTTGTAATATTTTATGGTTGGTAAATAAAGTTAATAAATGTGAAAAAAATCTGTCCAGCATTTTGGAAAATACCTGCATTTTTTTAAATTCGAAGTTCAAATTTAAATAGGTTTCTGCGATTGGATGAATGTAGATTCACTATCCATACATATATTCGAGAGTTCAGTGGGGAACAGTTATGGAATTAATTGTTCTCCATGTTCTCGCAGTAGTAAGACCATTTAGTCACTAAGGGCACGATAAGGGGCAAGAGCAAACTGTTTAATTTTTGCAGGATTTTCTTGAACGGAAGCTAATATTTTATTTTGAATTCTTTGCAAAAACTTGCATTACTACCCTTTTCCATATTTCAACATTCAGGTAAAGTAAGGATCCCAGAGCTCAAGAAAAGGTGCACTTCTCCCCATAGTATATCGCAAGCAATTTTTATGTTAACGTAAAATAAAAATAATTTCATTAATTACGCCCACGTACATAAACGCATCAGCAATATCGGATACATATTTGAAACAAATAAAATGAATAGTCGATAACAATAAAAAAAATGTTTTCAAAATGTTGTACTCATTATTTAAAGATCTTAAAGCCCTTACTTCGTAAAACAAGAAAGTATTGTCGCCGTGCGCCGGAAATTGGTGAATTTTCGACAGAACATTTCTTATTGACGGTCTCTGGTACCGCAAAAGGGGATAAATATTCTTCCTATATATAGTAAATTACTTCATCTAACACGTTGTGTAGTCCGAATGCCTGTTTTGTGGGTCCTTGATAGTGAAAAATCGATTGACAGCAAACGCTTCTCCGTCCGTCGCTCTGGTCAAGGGTAGCGACAAAACCGTTCACGCGATTTTCTTCAAAATCGATAGTCCTCCACCAATTTAAAGAAACTCATATTTTTAGTTTTCGGTGTTCTTTACATGATCTTAACATTTCCAAAATTTTCTCAAAAATTACTCCGTTTTTTTTATTACTCTTTGTCCTTGGTTGGCGTAGATGACGCTTAAAAGTGTCTCGCAAGGTCTCATTTTTGTTTGAAATTGCCAATTTTCTAAAATTGTTTTTCTGAGTCTTCCTTTAACTGCACTAATGAAGATTGACATTTTTCATGTAATTAAATGTGTTCTTTAATGTGATATAGAATGCCCTATCCCGGCCATGTTAAATGTTCGAATCAAAATCTCAGAATCCATTGAAATTAGGCTTATGCAATTTTTACTCGCTGCAGATAGTCTTTCAGTATTTATGCTCTGCATTAGGTAACATTATTGGAGCCAGCACCCACGCCCTGTGAAACGATGACTTCACATATAAATTATAAAAATTATTCTTGTAAGAATATCAACATATTTTAAACGCCAATTTAAAGAAAAAAAGGAGATATTTGAAAAATAAAATGCCTAAAAACTATTTTCTGAACGCAAAATCATTCCATTTCTCTTGAAAGACAGTTTTGAAAAACATTCTTTAAATTTTGGGGGTATTTTACATGAAACCCCTGGAACATTTTCAAAAATGCCACCGGTAATATTGGCCCAGTGACATCTATTATCAATGTGTGTGACCGGGAGGTCCTCGGGTTTGAATTCCAATGGTATCACCATTTTCGACACTCGCTCGACAGCTGGGTCGAATCGAGAATTCTAGCGGCTGGCTGCTCTTTTCGGTAGTTTTCTGTGGTTTCTCCGATCAACACCAGGCGAATGCCAGAGCAGTACCGTAAGAAACGAGCCACGGAGCGCGCGTGATCTAGTCTTCCTCTTGTCCTATCCTCACCCCTTGCTTACACTCATGTTCATGCACTACACTACCGCACAAGCCGGGAGACCCGTCGGGAGCTTCGAGTTCGCGCAAGCAGGCGCGGTGCTTCGCAGGTGGGAAGGTCGGCGCCGGACCCCATCATTGAGCGGGGAAGGATCACCTCCGCCTCCCGAGGTACAACGCGCACTACACTTACGGGACCAATACTTCAGCAGTCGGCGCGCCCGGAATCCCGAATCCGAACTGAATCTAGGCCTTGAGGGCGGGGGCATGCACTCCTTCCCTTGGATCCGCCCCTGCGCTTCTCTGATATATTATTTTTCTTTTTAAAAATTAAACACTGCATCTTTTGAAATGTCTTTCTGTTTATATTTACATTACGGCATTATGTCGTATATTATTACATATCTCTAATTGTTTGTTATGAAGTTCCTTAAGCATTAAATTGCATATTTTCAGAAACGCTCAAACGACTTATTCTTATGAACTGCTCGGAATTTTTAAGATTTTACCCTTCTATTATATTTTTAGTCTTTTTTTTATAATTCTATTATGGGTCGGTGAAGGGACAAACTGAAATAGTGTTATTTAGGCGTCAATAGATAGCTGCTAAAACAGAAAAGATAGTCTAGATTGAAGTGAAAAGGAAGTAGTACAAGAATGTCTACTGTCCAACTATTGCACCACTCATTTATTACAGTACTTCATCTTCTACAATAACTACTTGTTCTAAACAGTATTATATTTTATTACAGGGCCACTCATTACCCGCTATAAATACACAGAGGCATACAAATTGAACAAATGCAGACTATTTATACATATACTAGGAGAACACTCTGTACCCATCGAATTTTGCCAAGGCTGGGGATGGAAGTATTGCACTAATTCTACGTTGCAAGATTCCAACGCTCCCCCATCCTTTATAAATTCTTCCTTGGCGGGGGCGTGAGCAGATGGTTGGTTGCCACCTGCGTGAGAATTCGCGGGGACCGAACACTGCAGGGTGTAGTAAATAGCCGCTACAGTGGCTTCATAAAGTGTGTGTAGCTGGTGCCCTGATATCACCTTTTCGAGCGCGCCAACCACTAGTGGGAGGAGGAACTCGGGTATGGCCGGCCGCAAGCGACACGATTCGCGTAGGCATCTTGTGTCGTCCTGCACTCGCTCTTCACCGCTGCTTCCACTACGGCCACGCCCTGGCCTCGTACCAATGCAACTGCCTGGCTGTCTCCAATCCCCTCGCAGTGCTGGGCGTGTGATATAACGCATCCCCGCCAATAATTGATTGCCGTGTGCCTAGCCCGTTTATCCCATTAACATTTATTGCAGATGAGTTATTTCCGAAATATGTGGAATAATGCGGGGTCGTCTTATATTAGGTCTGTTCGGTTAGGATGTAATTAATGCCATTCCATGTCACGAAACTCGTAAAAGTTCTCGTAACAATAACTGCGCGTTACAATAATTATGTTCGCGTTTGTATTCTCGAGAATCACCGCGAATTTGTCGGGCATTCTCCGACATATTTTTGAATGGGCCGGTAAAGAGCCATCCCTAACCAAATTACATAGTATCAAAGGAAGCGTGAATGCCGAGAGTGTCACATGAGTGAGGGTTCGTCGAGGCCGCGCAGAATCTCGGTTCGACGCCCGGCGAATACGAATATTTGTTTTGAACACAGGCCATCAGCAAGTGCGGGGCGGATAGAATACCTGGCGACAGGAGGGCAATGATTCTTAAATGGCGTCTGATGAAAGACTATGTACAACGTAAATTTTAGTCTGCAAAACTCAAGAGGGGCCAAAAATGTTACAGCATGGATAGGTCAAAAAGAAAGAAAAACATTAATACATGGAATGCTGATGAGGCTACTGACAAAAATCATGATTAATGATATTAAGGGACAAGAAAATAGTTCAGCTATAACTCTTAACATTCTCATCTACAAGGCGATTTTCTAGTCAATAAGACATTTTGTAATTTCATTTTGACTAAATAGTTAGAATTAGTTAAAATATTTCAAAATTCTCAGGAGGCCTCTTCAAAATTCGGGGGTCGTCTTATATTCGATTTAACTTATAAATATGGTATCTTTTCGGGAATATGCATCATATGATTTATCAGCATTTGAGTAAAAAAATTATTCGTAGGTCAATAGAACCTGCCGTACAAGATCTCAGAATGTGAATTTCCCGTTGATGATATTTAATTTGGAAGTTTTCTCTCCAAACGATAACACTATAATAGTCTCGTGAACTTTTATAATTATTCGAAATTTATCAGGTTACAATTTAACATGGATTTTCCTTGCTTTCCACCTGAGTAAAAATATTCAAGTTTTGTTTTCCTTTTAATGTCACTCTACTGCTCCTTAATGTAGCTCTGCACTCCTTATGAAACAAAATACAACAAACACAAAAATCCACCATAAATTCCTTTTAATATCACATAGCATTAACTTCATTCACACTTTTAACACGTTTTGCACATTAATTCCTTCCCTAACACATCATGTATGGCCATTGTTGGTCTTGGGGATAGTCTGAATTTACTCAATGGTTTAGTTTTCTTATCTGTAGTATTTATATTGACAACATATTCTTGTATAAAATAACTTGTACATTTTTTTACATTTTTCAATTTTTTGGTTTCTATAATGGTTAAATTGAACTGAAATTTATGAATATCAAAGAAGAATTGTTTTCATGTGTACATTTTCGTGAGAAAGTTTGGAACAGTTTTAGGGGGAAAATGTTTGTGGAAGGAATTTGTGAAAATGCAATAATGTTTAAGTACAAATAACTCAAAATTGTGAATTTTAAAGTTTACTGAAGAAAGGAACATTTGGTTTTAAAAATTGTATGTAATCAGATTGGAAAATTTTGCTTGTTCTAAGAACATTCTTGACTTTATGGAGTGATACGTTTGTGACAGATCGCTCGCCTTCAAGAGCGTCTTGAGGTTGTTCGGAGACATGATGCTTCTGGACAGTGTGTGGGTGGCCCTCATTGTGTTCTGCTTCAAGATCAACATCTCTATGGAACTGGTCCTTTACTTGAGCACCCACCACCCCAGGTATGCTTGATGTTTTCAGGATGATTGACTTAGTTTTCTAATTACTTATCAGTTAAGTTTTGAAAAATATCTTTTAAGATATTGAAAAAGGAAATTAACATTTGTTTTCTATATTACAGGTCCCCAGTACCTCTGGTAAAGGACGTGGCAAGGGAACTCCTAGGCAAAAAAAAAATCGGAAAAAGGCCGGCGAACAAGCAATGCTAGATGGTGTGCCAGCCCCTTTGCCTGCTTTACCCCCACCGCCTATGAACCCAGACGTCCCTCCAGGCCAGGATGTGCCAGGGGGGGAATTTGCCGATGTACCCCTTGTTCCTCTTCCACCGATTGCTGGGGCTCCATCTGAGCTGGGGCTGCCAGCAGATGGTCCAGAAGGGCCAGTTCCTCCTGCTCCAGAACAGAAAGTGAAAAAGCCAAAGACCCCAAGGTACAATTGGAACATGTTTCCAAATTTGTATTATAACCACTTGACCAACCAGTGAGAATTCTTAGCCTTTACATGTTACAATTCTAATATGTTAATAAATTCAAACTGTTACATTGAAATTCAAAATGAAATTGAAAAATCCGGCAATTCCATTCTTGCACTGCTGGCCTCGGTTATTTCTTGTACCTTTAACTTTGAGATAATTTTTTTAAATGTTTATTTTAATTATAAATATAGTAGTAAAATTATTGGTATTGCAAGTGTGACATTACCATAATGCTTGCGAAATCCTCACTTTTCATGTATGTGTCGAATGTAGTGAAATTTTCATGTATCTTTGTTTATACTTTCAGAGAGCCAAAAAAGCCTCGAGAGCCCAAACCTCCCAAGGAACCCAAGCCACCCAAAGAACCCAAACCTCCAAAGGAACCAAAGCCTCCAAAAGAACCAAAGGCTCCTCGTGAAAAGAAGAAACGTGAACCAAGAGCACCAGCAGATCCTAATAAACCTAAAAGGTTAGTATGTTTATGTTTTAATTAGTCTTGGATTCAGAGAATGTGGGTTTTTTTTGCATAAGGTCAGCTCAGAGATGCCTTTCAAGATTTAAAAAAAAAAGTTTTGACTGAAGCCCAATATTGGAGGGTAACTTAAAAGATCTGAACTAAAATTTTACTAGTTTCCATGTATTGGTCAATTTTTTCTAAAAAGATGAAAGGTGAATGCAATGCTCACATTGTCATATAAAGATCCTTGGAATTTTAAATATTTATTGTCTAAAGTAGGCAAGCATACAGCAATTTATTTTTACCAAAATAGCCACGCAAAAATGGCATTTGTTGTGGCTAAAATTAGGTGAAACACATGATAACTAAATTTTAAAAAAGAATATATGGTCAATAACATAAAATATTTTTTTTTAAAACTTCTTATTTTTCTAAACAAACAAAAGAAAATAACATTCGTCAATGCAATGCACTTAGTGATGTAGATTTCTTCTTGATGGCTGTCTAAATTTTAGGATGACAGTGAATTTTACTTGCAAAGTCTTTGTTTATACTTATCTTTTTATCCTTTGCGTTCCAAAAAGACATTGGTGAAAATAGTGCATAGAGAACTGTGTTCTCAAGACAGATTTGAGAGCCATACTCCTAGGGCATGGTATGGAATATCTTGTAACCAAAGAATTTTTACTGGTATCAGTCAAAGGATATCTTAATAGTGGCATTTTTAATACTACCTTACACTAGAGCCCAAACTTGCGTAGAATGACAAAATACAAAAGGCATTGTAGATAGGATTCTATTTTTATTGTTTATTTTATAGAATTTTATCTGTGCTACCAGAAGAACCTAGTGGTGCTTCAACAGGAGTTATCACTTCCTTGTATTGTTTGTAACTTTTACATTAGGAATTATTGCAACTTCTGACCTACTAACATTTTGGCCATCACTTGAAAAACTCCTTAGAAAAGGAAGTGTGAGAGCTTAGGGGGAAAATACGTAGAGTAATAGAAGTATTGTTGTGCTTCAAGAAATCGAAGTAGTTTTTTGTCACCCTTTTTCACCTACAATTTTATGTATACTATGCAAACTTTCGTTGCTATGCCAACTCAAACCTTAGCAAGAAATTCTGCGCTACAACATAATCTGATGTGCTCTGCCTAGTCTCTATTGATATTGTAATTCTTTTGCTAGTGAAGAAATTGTTTAGGTAGAAAATCATTATCCACTTGTCAGCTTGACTACAATAGGCCATTAATAGGGGTGTGTGCATGCATGTGTATGTGTGCATGCATGTGTATGTGTGCATGCATGTGTATGTGTGCATGCATGTGTGTGTGCATGCATGTGTGTGTGCATGCGTGTGTGTGCATGCATGCGTGTGTGTGCATGCATGCGTGTGTGTGCATGCATGTGTGTGTGTGTGTGTATGTGTGTGTGTGTGTGTATGTGTATGGGTGTATGCATGTGTATGGGTGTATGCATGTGTATGGGTGTATGCATGTGTGTGTGTGCATGCATGTGTGTGCGTGTGCATGCATGTGTGTGTGTGCATGCATGTGCATGTGTGTGCGTGTGCATGCATGTGTGTGTATGTGTATGGGTGTATGTATGCATGTGTTTTTTTTTTATTTTTTATTTTATTTTATTTTTTTTTTACGTGGGCAGGGGAAAATCTTCTAAAGACACAGCGGGGCCTGCAACCCGGATTCATAGCTAGCCTATGCCTACCACTGAAACCCCTCCCTTTCCTCCTATTCCTTCCGCGGAACCGCCGTCAGGCATTGCATCGCGAGGAAGGAAAAATGGGCTTTTCGCAGCTTCACACGACATATTACGGGAACAGCTTATTCCGTAATGCTCCTGGAGCGGAGAGTCTTCAGGACCTTTGCCGGCATAGTGGCTACCGCACTCCAATACTTTGTTCCAGCACATCCTAGTGACGATGGTCTCAGGGGTCCACTTCCGTTCTTGAGGAGTCGTGTTGAAGTTCTTCCCTTCCACTGGCGAAGAGTGGACAATGAAAGAACACGTGTTCTACATCTTCAATCAACGGAAACACCTTGGGCATGACGAGCTATCGATCCACCGGAATCGAGAGCTGATACTCTCTGTAACATCCGTGCCTGTCCAGCATCTTGAGTTAGATAAAAACTAATTCTCCATGTTCCCTTTGGATAGCACGTCATGATGTCTTGGAATGACCCGAAATGTCCATCGCCCAGTTGATGATTGCTCCCATCGTCGTTGCCCATTGGTCATTGTCACCCCTCTCTTCTTTCGTAATGGTATTTCGTAATGGTGTGTTGTGTGTGTGTGTGTTCGCGTGTGGTGTGGTGTGTGTGTGTTGCGTGTGTGTGTTGTGTGTTCGCGTGTGTGTGTGTGTGGGTGTTCGCGTGTGTGTGTGTGTGTGTGTGTTCGCGTGTGTGTGTGGTGTGTGTGTGTGTTCGCGGTGTGTGTGTGGTGTGTGTGTTCGCGTGTGTGTGTGTGTGTTGTGTTCGCGTGTGTGTGGTGTGTGTGTGTTTCGCGTGTGTGTGTGTGTTTCGCGTGCGCTGTGGTGTGGTGTGGTTCGCGCGCGCGTGTGTGTGTGTTCGCGTGTGTGTGTGTGTGTGTTCGCGTTGTGTGTGTGTGTGTTCGCGTGTGTGTTGTGTGTGTGTTCGCGTGTGTGTGTGTGTTCGCGTGGTGTGTGTGTGTTCGCGTGTGTTGTGGTGTGTGTTCGCGTGTGTGTGTGTGTTCGCGTGTGTGTGTGTGTTTTCGCGTGTGTGTGTGTGTGTTCGCGTGTGTGTGTGTGTGTTTCGGCGTGTGTGTGTGTGTGTTCGCGTGTGGTGTGTGTGTTCGCGTGTGTGTGTGTGTGTTCGCGTGTGTGTGTGTTGTGTTCGCGTGTGTGTGTGTGTGTTCGCGCGTGTGTGTGTGTGTTCGCGCCTGTGTGTGTGGTGTTCGCGCGTGTGTGTGTGTGTTCGCGTTGTGTACGTGGTGTGTTCGCGTGTGTGTGTGTGTGTTCGCGTGTGTGTGGTGTGTGTTCGCGTGGTGTGTGTATGTGTATCGCGTGTGCTGTGTATGTGTTCGCGTGTGTTGTGGTTCGCTCCGGTGTGTGTGTTCCGTCGTGTGTGTGTAATGTGTTTCGCGTGTGTGGTTATTGGTTGATGTGTGTTAGCTCGCGTGTGTGTGTATGTGTTCGCGTGTTGTGTGTATGTGTTCGCGGTGTGTGTGTATGGTGTTTCCGCGTAGTGTGTGTATGTTGTTCGCGTGTGTGTGATATGTGTTCGCGGTGTGTGTATAGTGTCTGCAGTGTGTGTGTATGTTTCGCGTGGTGTGTATGACTGCCTTTAGCGTGTGTGGTGTATGTGTCGACGTGGATGATGTGTATGTGTTCCGCGTGTCGTGTGTATGTGCTCTCGCGTGTGGTGGTATGTTGTCTCGCGTGATGTGTGTAAGTGTTCGCGTGTGTCGTGGTATTTTCGCGTGTGTGGTATGTGTTCGCCGTGGTGTGTGTACTGTGTTCGGTGTGTGTGTACTGTGGTTACGCTCGTAGTGTAGTGTATGTTTCGCCGTGTGTGTGTATGTGTTTCGCGTGCTGTGGTAATGTGTTTCGCGTGTGTGTGTGGTGTGGTTCCGCGTGTGTGTGTGTGTGTTCGCGTGTCGTGTGGTGTGTTTCGCGTGTTGTGTTGTGTGTGTTCGCGTGTGTGTGTGTCCGTGTTCAGCGTGTGTTGTGTGTGTGTTCGCCCCAGGTGGTGTGTGTGTGTTCGCGTGTGTGGTGTGGGTTCGCGTGTAGATAGATGAGAGATGATAGATATCCGCGTGTGTTTGTGATGTGCTGTGTGTGTGTGTTCGCGTGTGTGTGTGTGTGTGTGTTCGCGTGTGTGTGTGTGTGTGTGTTCGCGTGCGTGTGTGTGTGTTCGCGTGCGTGTGTTCGCGCGCAACGAATTGCAAATATGATTTTTCTGCATTACTAACAAAATAGTAACTCGCCCTTACCTCTACTCTACTCATTTAATGGTTCAGAGGAAAAAGAAAACTTAGAATAATGACATCAAAATTCGAATTATGACTTTGTCACTGAGAGTGGATAATTCTTTTTCTTGTATGTTGTCTATTATTTGCTCTATGTTGGATGGGTATTTTCCTTCTTGGAGGTAGATCAAATGCCTCAAAACCATGTTCAATATTCTTTTTAAAAGGCTTCGAATGTTGTTTTTTCTGAATAGAGCAAATTAGGTTTATAAAAGCATGTTTTTCGATAATTTCTGTGAATTTTTTTTATTGCAAAAGTAAATTAATTATGATTTGTTTCAGGAAATATGTCAAGAAAAAACCAGCAGAGGCCTCGCAAGAAGATAAAAGTGCTGTCCCTTCTGGGGAGTCCGGCACCTCTGAAGAAACTCCTAAAGATGGAGTGTCTCCAGAAGCTGCTCCTGAATCTTCAGCAGCTGCTGCTGGTGGAGATGCAGCTGATGCAGAAGCTGATGGCTCCTCTGTTGGTGAGAAGCTTGAGTCCTCTGCAGAATCAGAGGCCCCTGCTAACAGTGAAAAGGAGACTCCCTCTAGCCCAGGCAAAAGCGCTCCTGACACAACTCCAACAAAAGGGACTTCTCCCAAAAAGAAGAGGGAAAAGAAGCCAAAAGTGAAGACTGCCCTACGTAAAATTCAGAAGTATGTGTAATTAAAAAAATAAATAAATAAAAATTATTTGAATGTGGTTTGAGTGAGTTTTCTAATGAATATTTGTATGTTAGGAAGAAGAAAACGAAGCTGGGGGGAGATGATGAATCGGAAGGAGAAGACATGGCCAGGACTCCTCCACCTTCGCCGGAAGATGATAGTGAAGCTGCTAAGAATGTATGTATATTCTTCATACTTTCTTTTGTCTTTTGTTTCATTAAATGATTTAAATAAATTGGAAGCAAATGTGCTCTCGTTTGTTCACAGAAGCGTCGATCTGCTCGTAATACTCATAGAAAGAAGTATGTGGATGATATCATGTTGAGTATATCAGATGATGATACACCGAAAATGCCCCCTCCTGTCAAAACTGGTGAGACTGCTGCTAAACCTGTTCCTGAAGAACCTGTAGATCCTGCTGTTAAGCCAAATTTTGTTTATATTGTAAGTATTGTAAATTTGATCATTCTTAATATTGCTATTTTACATAATTATGTGAATTTAATTTTCTTTGATTTTTGTTTGTAGAATACAACTGATGAAGATTCAATGGTTGTGCAATATATATTAGCTGTAAGAAAGGGTCGAAGGGAAGTCAAACTTGAAGCACCTGCAGAGCCTATGGCAACAGTTACTAATGCAAATGCAGCTGCAACTACAACTGTAGCTGCAACAACTGCAACCACAACCGAAGTTGTAGCTGCTACTACTGCAATTGCAACCGAACCTGTGGCTGCAGCTGCAACCGAAACTGCAACAGTAAATGCAACCGAAACTGCAGCTACAACTGCAACCGAAACTGCAGCTACAACTGCAACCGAAACTGCAGCTACAACTGCAACCGAAACTGCAGCTGCAACTGCAACTACACTTGCAGGTACATGTGTATCAGTAACTTCAGAGAAACCTGATATTGAAGAAAAATTAGAAAAAGTGTTGAAAGACGAAACTAAGTTAGTTGAGAGAGATGAAAAAAGTGAAGAGCAAAATGAAATCTCAGATGAAAAAGCAGTTAGTATTGACACACCAAAAGATGAAAAACACGATAGAGATGAAAAAATGGAGGTGGAAGATATAGAAGGTGAAAAATTGGAAAAGGGAATTGAGAGTGAACAAAACGATGAACAAAATCTTGATCAAGAAGGGGCAAAAGAAGCTGAAAAAGCTAATGATGAAAAAGATGCAGAACAAACGAAGAACGAAGAGAATCTGGATGATCTTTCTCAAGAATCCATCAAGGCAGACACTTTGGAAACTAAAAATGAGGAAACGAGCAAGGAAGTGAGACCAGCTGCTGAAAAAGTTCTGTCATTAGTGGAGAATGAAAAAGAAAAAGGAAAAGTTCTGCTAGAGCTGAAAATAGTTCCAAATTCTGCAACTGGGAAACCTGAACCCCAGTTCGTTGAAGTGGAAGAGTATTTTGTCAAGTACAGAAATTTTTCATATCTACATTGTGAATGGAAGACTGAAGAAGAGCTGTTCAAAGGAGATAAAAGGATTGCAGCTAAACTGAAACGCTTCAAGCAGAAGATGGCTCAGCAATGCAATATATTTGAAAATGTATGTAATTCATTATATCAAATTAGACTGCTTAATAACTGGGCTAAGATTGTGTGTTAGTCTCAACTGGGTAATTAAAATGCTTTGTTGCAGACTAAAAGAGTGAATGTTGATGTTATAATGAAATATCTTTTCATTTATCCTTTTTTGCTATTTATGTTGATAAACAAGAGCTTAGCTCTATAACAAACAACCATCTAAACGACGGATTTAGAAAGCGCCAAAAGCAACGGTTGTTAAAATGCTTGAAAGTCTATTAAAAATAGTTGAAAGGACTTTTGGGTTTAGATTTTACTAGAGCTCTTTAAATATTTGGATAAATAATTTGTTGTCACAAAACAATTTTTGGGAATAAAAAATTTAGACATAATTTATTGTTACTATTGTGTGATATAGATATATTAAAGTAACAATTTTTTAACATTCCACTGAATGTGATGCCATTTAAAGCCATAATATTTATCTTCATTAGTATTACAAGAAATACTTTCCCACATTTTTGTCCCATTTTTGCCACTTGTCCCCATGTCCAATTTGTCCATGTAGCCCCTTGTCCCTATGTCCCCATGGCCATTTAGCCCCTTGTCCCATTTGCCCCCTCCCTCTTTTTCATTGGCCCCATTAGCTAATATCGTCCTTTGTCCAATTTTGTCCCATGTTGCTCCATTTGTCCTCCTGTTCTGTTTGTCTTGTTTGTTCTGTTGTCACCCTTTCCCATTTTGTTTCGTGTCCCTTTTTCCAATTTTGTCCCTGTGCACACTTTGTCCTTAACCCCGTTTTGTCCTTTTGGTCCTTCCGTGTCCTAGGACGATTATTTAAAAGAGCCTGTACAAACAACCCTTGCCACACTTGAGAGCTATGATAATTTTCAACTTGTGAAAGTGTTAAATGATTATTTTGAATAATTAATAATAACAAAAACATTGCATGTATTATGTCCTCTATTAGTCCTTGTGGACTCTGCTGGAAGGTTAACTATTCATTTTTGTTATTGCTCTACTTTGCAGTTAACCTTCAACCTTGTCTTTAACGACTAATGTAGAGGACTTTTTACATAAATAAGTATTTATCAAAATTTTGTGGCATTATCTAACAGAAATTGTTTAATTTCGACTTTTTGTTTTTATTAGGAAAAATTAAGGAAATCAATTTATAATGGAATCAAGAATCTTAGAAATTTAGTAAATATAATAAAAATTTACTGCAAAGCTTATTTGCTATTATGATCTGTAGGGTCATAGTATTGCAAAGAAATAGATTCCAAAATTTTTGACCCACTTGTCCTCTTAGCCCTTTTTGTCCCTTTTACCCCCTTGTCCCATTTCCCCTTTTTCCTCTTTTCCATTGGTGGTTTCATTTAAATCATAGTACAACATAATTTTCCTTTTATAAAGAAATTGTATACCTTTGGTCAGTTCTGCTCTTAATAGATTTTTCTGATGTTACTAATAATGGGGTAAAGAATGTTGAAAGACAAATGTTCCTTGGAAAAAATTCACTTTCTTTGATTTGGTTTATTTTTATTTATAGTCTGTTAGTGCATATGTATTATTGAGTGAGTATTTGTTTCCATGCATTTCCATTTTATTTAGCTATTAGAATTCGGTATTGTATTTTGTCTGTTTTTCAAAATTTTCTTGCAACTTTTTCATGATTAATAAGGAAAAAACACCCCAATTATAATTTTTAAGGGGTATACAGCTACTTGGTCATAAAGGGGAGTGGGCTTCATTATTCAATGGAATGTTTAAAAAACAAAAAAAACGTTTCAACAGAGTTGTCAAAGCTTATTGAAGAATACAGGGCTGCATTAATGCAGGAGTCAGTAAGTTGCCAGCTACGCAACACTCCTAAGTGCGTGATCTGTGGTTTAGATGGTGTATTTGTGGCATTTTGTTCAAATAGCAATGACACTCAACTGCATTACCGTGATCAATGTGTGTTAAATTGCAGGATTGACCATAAAAATTGGACATTCTGTATCATACAGTTTCTATATATTATTCCTGTATGTTAGTTACATTCAAGAAAATAGCATTTTGTGTTCAAAATAAAAGTGAACTTCTATGTGCAGAGTTTAAAAGTAGTAAGGCACATCAAAAGTAACAAGAATGAGATCAAACATGCAAGGTGTTAGCCATTTCAAAATTTTTATTGGACTAGTTGTTTGTCAAATAATTGAGTGATAAAAAATATTGTGGAAGGGAAAAGTGATTACATTGAATAGGTGAAGAGGTGCAATCTGATTAAATTAGTTTTTTAAATAATATAAAAGAAAAAATTAATAAGATTAACGAGAAATGTAAAGTTAAACAAATAATGGATTGTCATCAATGTATTCACATACCATGGAACCGATAAACATGAAAGAAAATTATTTCAGGCTATGTCAAAATTTGATGTTTCATTATGACAGCAATGACTGAAAGCTTTGAGCACTTGAGCATGTACATAATTGTGTGTGGAGTAGTTTGTAGATAATTGCTATGATACCATTTGTTTGTGGTTGGGCTTGTGCATGCTTCATAATGATTTGAATGAATGTTTGGTGGGTGTTCGATATTCATTTGCATGCAGGTATGGATGAGTGTAAGTTGGTACTATATTTCTGTCAATACAGGTGCTGTGTTCTTTTACTTCAGAACTTGGAGTAATGCAATACTTTAGAACTTCGAGTAATGCAATACTTTAGAACTTCGAGTAATGCAATACTTTAGAACTTGGAGTAATGCAATACTTTAGAACTTGGGAGTAACGCAATACTTAGAACGTTGGGATAACGCAATACTTTAGAACTTGGGAGTAATCGCAATACTTTTAGAACTTGGGAGTAACGCAATACTTTAGAACTTGGGAGTAACGCAATACTTTAGAACTTGGGAGTAACGCAATACTTTAGACCTTGGAGTAACGCAATACTTTAGAACTTGGGAGTAACGCAATACTTTAGCTTGGGAGTACGCAATACTTTAGAACTTGGAGTAACGCAATACTTTAGAACTTGGGAGTAACGCAATACTTTAGAACTTGGGAGTAACGCAATACTTTAGAACTTGGGAGTAACGCAATACTTTAGAACTTGGGAGTAAGCAATACTTTAGAAACTTGGAGTAACGCAATACTTTAGAACTTGGGAGTAACGCAATACTTTAGAACTTGGGAGTAACGCAATACTTTAGACTTGGAAGTAACGCAATACTTTAGAACTTGGGAGTAACGCAAATACTTTAGAACTGGGAGTAACGCAATACTTTAGAACTTGGGAGTAACGCAATACTTTAGAACTTGGAGTAACGCAATACTTTAGAACTTGGAGTAACGCAATACTTTAGAACTTGGGAGTAACGCAATACTTTAGAACTTGGGAGTAACGCAATACTTTAGAACTTGGGAGTAACGCAATACTTTAGAACTTGGAGTAACGCAATACTTTAGAACTTGGGAGTAACGCAATACTTTAGAACTTGGGAGTAACGCAATACTTTAGAACTTGGGAGTAACGCAATACTTTAGAACTTGGGAGTAACGCAATACTTTAGAACTTGGGAGTAACGCAATACTTTAGAACTGGGAGTAACGCAATACTTTAGGAACTTGGGACAAGTAACGCAATACTTAGAACTTGGGAGTAACGCAATACTTTAGAACTTGGGAGTAACGCAATACTTTAGACTTGGGAGTAACGCATACTTTAGAACTTGGGAGTAACGCAATACTTTAGAACTTGGGAGTAAGCAATAGCTTTAGAACTTGGGAGTAACGCAATATTTAGAACTTGGGAGTAACGCAATACTTTAGAACTTGGGAGTAACGCAATACTTTAGAACTTGGGAGTAACGCAATACTTTAGAACTTGGGAGTAACGCAATACTTTAGAACTTGGGAAGTAGCAATACTTTAGAATTGGGAGTAACGCAATACTTTAGAACTTGGGAGTAACGCAATATTTAGAACTTGGGAGTAACGCAATACTTTAGAACTTGGGAGTAAGCGCAATACTTTTAGAACTTGGGAGTAACGCAATACTTTAGAACTTGGGAGTCACGCAATACATTAGAACTTGGGAGTAAACGCAATACTTTAGAACTTGGGAGTAACCAATACATTAGAACTTGGAGTAACGCAATACTTAGAAACTTGGGAGTACGCAATACATTAGAAACTTGGGAGTAACGCAATACATTAGAACTTGGGAGTAACTGCAATACATTAGAACTTGGGAGTACGCAATACATTAGAACTTGGAGTAACGCAATACATTAAGAACTTGGAGTAACGCAATACATTAGAACTTGGGAGTAACGCAATACATTAGAACTTGGAAGTAACGCAATACATTAGAACTTGGGAGTAACGCAATACATTAGAACTTGGGAGTAACGCATACATTAGAACTTGGGAGTAACGCAATACTTAGACTTGGGAGTAACGCAATACATTAGAACTTGGGAGTAACGCAATACTTTAGAACTTGGGAGTAACGCATACATTAGAACTTGGGAGTAACGCAATACTTTAAGAACTTGGAGTAACGCAAACATTAGAACTTGGGAGTAACGCAATACATTTAGAACTTGGGAGTAACGCAATACATTAGAACTTGGGAGTAACGCAATACATTAGAACTGGGAAGTAACGCAATACATTAGAACTTGGGAGTAACGCAATACATTAGAACTTGGGAGTAACGCAATACATTAGGAACTTGGGAGTAACGCAATACATTAGAACTTGGGAGTAACGCAATACATTAGAACTTGGGAGTAACGGCAATACATTAGAACTTGGGAGTAACGCAATACATTAGACTTGGAGTAACGCAATACATTAGAATTGGGAAGTAACGCAATAACATTAGAACTTGATGAAGTAGTGCATGGCAAAAAAGTCTGAAAGAAGATTCAAGCATTATGTGGTGAGGGGAGAGGATGTTTTTCCCTCCTGAAAAGTTGATTTCACGTGATATTGATTTGTTTTAGAATATTCTGTACTATCATCTA